CAGCAATAGATACGGTTCACATCTAATACATCAAAAGAATAAAGCCACATACACAATGCACCAAAGCTCTTCATAATGGACAGCAATACCAAACCCATCATATATTAACCAACAAACATTTACCTGAATTGAACAGGTTGCGAATACTCCTTTCTGAAGCGTTTAAGAATTTCTCTGTGTATGGAAAGTTGCTGGTTTTTGACTTCCTGCGTCTCCTCTTCACTTATAGGCGGGAGTTCAGGCTCAGGGATGTCAAAGCGTTGAATTAATAGGTCTAGCAATTCCTAAAAGGGGAAGCAACAAAATGTGATGTCAAAAGGGTGGATAGCAACAAAATAGAGTGCAAGGATTTGCAATGTCCTTTCATACCTAATATGCAGAATCTTTATATATCTAAATTTACCAACTATTTCATTCTTTGACTACTACAGAATGAAATACTAATAACCACATCTAGGTTTTCTAAGAATTTTATAGCATATGATAACTTACAATGAAATTACTCAAACAATAAAGGGGAAATACATTAGTTACTCTTTCATAGTAAACAACTGGTTACTCACTGTTGGAGTACAAAAGCTTCGGTAAGTAGTGAGAAACGTTCTCACAAACATTGGATCTGCATACATGTGGTATGTTAATCTTTCAACCAGCTTTGGCAGCGTTGCTCCCTGTAATAAATGTGTTGATTATTTCCTTTCCATTAATAAAATTACCAATTACCATATAAATAATGACCTTACTGTACTCATCCTTTATACCAAAACCAGATATAATAGAAAAATGCAGTCTTTTTTGGTTTAGATGAAAAAAAAAAAGTAAAATGAAAAGGGAATCCTTGAAATGTTCTAAAACAAAGACAAAAAACAACAAGATTGAATCCTATCATGAATACTAAACAAATTGCACACAATTCACATTCAAGTGTCAACGGTCACCTTTATAAGAGGAGTTCCTGAGTTTTCCTTCTCTTCGATGATAATGTTTGACTCGGAGTCCTCAATGGCAAACTGGTAGACACTTGGATCAGGCAACTTGAGGGGATGCTGTTTCTCCTCATCTAATAATATACTGTCTAGGGTTCGTTCTAACATACTGAAAGGAGAAAGATCACAGGTCGTAGGTTACATTTTCACATTCTTTCTATAAATTCTCTTTTTTTTTGTTGTTGTTGTTCAGGAACTACCATACTGAAAAAAAATAGTTCTAATTAATTCAAAATGATAATCAAAAATTTCGCAGGACATGATCTATGTTCTACGTCACGACCACTACATCTTCAAATTGACACGCACCTCCGAGTGTTGAGCATAACAAGGGCAGCCATCCAGTTGTTCTTCTCTTCCATAGACTTTGCAAGTAGCACCACACTGGGCTGGTCTCGTGGCCGGATCTCAAAGGAGTATTTGATCTCTGTTGGGGTTTTACACAGTGGAAGCATAAACCAGGTGAAAAGGAATTTTGCTTTCTACATTTAGCATTTGGTTTCACAACTTGCCTTTATATTATATTCTTTACCAAAGCAAAACAAACCTGTCTGAGGTCTGAACTTGTGCTAGGCACCAAACAAAAAGAGTAAAGTCAATGTAATCCACTTACCTTCAGTATCTTCTCTGTCTAAAATTTCTACCATTCTCATAAGAAATTTCTCCTTAAATCTGTACTCTCCAACCTGAAAAAAAAAAAAAAAATTAAAAGTCTATAACATCTTCCGTCACTGAAAAGAAATTGGTCAATTTCACTGATTTCATTTTACATTATCAATCAATATCATTATTCTTTATCAAACCCAAACTTATTCAAAGGTTCTCAAACTTGTACTACCCACAGCTCCCCAAGGTGCTGGGGGGTAGTGCCTATGGTACCACAAGATTCCCTAGTAAAACAAATTTCAGTTATAAAATTTCAGACCTGAATTTTTGTTTGAAGCTTATTTTGTGTGAGGTGGAAGCGAGTAAAGAAAATATGCCAAAGAAGGACTAAGTGAGTTTAGGGTCATGATCCCTGACAAGAGTCTTGGGAACCACTGCTCTAAAGTTCTAGAGTTGGTGGTGTATGGCATATTTCTTTCCGGCCAAACCTTAGATCTCTTTCTCTTCCCATAGTTATCTCCAGCTATATCATTATCTTTTTATTTTAGAAGCTATTCATACCAATCTCTCACCTTTTTCATTCATACACAAGAAGTATCTGTGATAATTTTCTGAACTCTGTGTGCTCAACTGACATTGTGAAATATACATTGTCTTCCATTGTCTGTAACTAAAATTTCCCTTGTGAAACAAAAAGAATCATGCCTATTTTGTCACTAGTGGCATTGACAATCTGGAGAGTTTAATGGGGTGAAAAGTTAACACCAGTGGTATTGACATTTATGGACTGAAATATTTTTCTCTAACAATATATTCCACATGTTCTCAAATACTTCTTTGTACGATCTCATTACATTTGTATATCGATCTACTATCTCTATCCTCTGTCTGTCTGTCTGTCTGTCTGTCTGTCATTTCTCTTATTAAAACTGCATGCCACAAATGAATAAAATAATAATAATAACAACAAAACAGAACAATAAAAAAAAGAAAATAGAAACACCCTTACCCTAAAGACAATAGGCAGAGTAGGTCTCCCATTCTATGGACACAAACTTTCAAACATAAGGCAACATGAACACAAAGATCCTGGGTTCTCAAACCCTCTCAATATACAAGTCCTGTGACCTGAACTTGTCTTTCTTTTTTTCCTTACCCTATGCATTTTTGTCATACCATTTGATTTCTGAAATGAATTTCACTTTTCCCATATGATAACCACACCTTAAACATGAAATGAATTGAGAAAAAACATAGAGGAAAATAAAAGAGAGAATAAAAAAAAAGGTGGTATGAACACCTTTCCCCTAACACCTAAACCTAAACCACTTCCCATTATCCGTTTCCCTACAAACACAAGGTACACCAACACCAATACCCTCTACCCCTCACTCTCCCTTCTCCTCACCTGTCCTGTGACCGAGGACCGCCGGTTATTGCTCTTGCAGAGGACTATGAGGCCGTCAAACAGGAACACATGGCGCTCTGTCGGCTTCTTCCCAGTGGCACCAAGTTTTAGCAGGTCACCCTCTGCATGGTTTGGAAAAAATAAAAAAGGAAAAGAGAAAGATTACAATAACACTATTACTAGTGTCTGGAAAAGATAAAAAGGAAAAGAAAAAGGTTACAATAACATTATTACTTGTATCTGGAAAAGATAAAAATGAAGAGAGAAAGGTTACAGTGGTATTACTATTAGTGTTCAGAAAAGTGTCATAGTACTTGATTTATAAATAATGTTCCTTCTCTTGCACCATGACAGTAACTTCACTATATAGACACTTTTATTCCATGTAGTACCTTCTGCCAATTTTTAAAGAGAATGAAGCTAATGATTAAAATCATCATTTCCTTTCACTTTTTTCATCTATACACATCACAATTTTGTGTTTACAAAACATCCACTGTTTATAAAAATATATTCAAAATCCATATCTGCATTATACACTAATTATGTTTCAGTCATGGATGTCACATGAAGCTTTCTTCAAGTATACTAATTAAAGTTATTTCATCCCTTGATTTCACTCATTGTCAAATTGTACTGTATGGTTATAAATGACATAAACCAAGCCTCAAGTTAAATGTAAATGTTACATGTGTCATTCTTTCTCTCACTTTGACATAAAGCTACCTATATCATCACAAACCATGTTCAGTTACTCAAAAAATCAACTCACAGGCTGAGACAGTATTTCCATAAATAAAATATTTTGAAGTCATACACTAAGTCAAGGCAAGTCCTTTAATTTCTACTACGGAGCCAAAACTCTACATAAAGTTATCAGCCAAGCATCCATAAATCAGAATAAAGAAAAAGCTTCATAATAACTACAAGATTTACTCCCATCATATGTTCATCTTTCATGAAAAATACACATCAAAATATACAAAGCCTTTACACACAAAAAATAGGAAGTTTATCCTTTCTACAAAAATCAAATTTATACTAAATAATTAGTCACTTCAATTTGTACAAAAGAAACAAAATCACATCAATAATGTACCACATCACAAATATCTTCTTTTTCATTGCAAAGGTACTGATCATTGGTAAACGTACCTAAAACAAACTCGTTGCAACATTGTGTGATGACTTTTCCTTCCCAGCCATCTATTGATCGTTGTAATTCTTTCATTTTAGATAAGGTTTGTTGTCTACTCTGCCTTCCATGCCGTAAAGTGATTTCTCTGCAGATAGAATCCATTTCAATTAGAAACTTGTCAAAGATCTCGTGTAAAATATTCCATTAGAATGTCCAATAAAAGATGGCAAAAAAAGGCAACAACAGAGTGCCGAACGTACCCTAATTTTCTCTTAAGGTAGGGAGCATACGGAGAGTTCTGTATGGTGCGTTCTAACTGACTTTGGAGAGGCCACAAGAGACCTTTGACTTGTTCTAAGCTCTCTCGAGCTTCTTCTGACTCAGTCATACTCAGAAACATCTGTAAAATAATCTTTTAAATGACACTTACAGGAGCTCAAAGGTTGAAAAAACATATGCCCAGTCTAAAATCCTGAGCTGAATGTGGGGGAAAAAAAAAAACAAGTGGTCCATCTAAAAAAACACTAAATAACACAGTATAACATCCATAGAGGATCTAAAAAATAACCTATATAAATACACACACACACACATACATATTTGAATATATATACAAATAAAAAAACAAACACACAAAAGCAAAAACACACACACACATCATATTCTTATCCCACTAAATTATTTCATAAAATATATATTCTTATATACCCTTAAATATTCTTATATATTCTCATTTAGTTTCTTCCATATACAGCCACAGCTTCAGTACAAAGAACTGACCATTAACGTTATCCTAATACTGTATCAGACAATTCATACTAAACAAATAAAGACCATCACAATATTCGTCACAAACCCACTAACATCTATATATTTAAAATAAGTGAAGACTTGACAAACAGGTACAAGAAGCAGCTTTGGCAGGTAGTACTTGACAGCTTCCTTGAAGCCCTGTCCAGCACTTGTCAGCGCATCACTAACAGCTGGCTGGTTAACCACGTCCATTAGCTGATCTGCACACTCTTGCCTTAACACATCGCTGGCATATTTTCCGTATACATCAAACTCTGCACCCTGTGTGTGATAAAAAGAAGATGATAGTAACATTTGAAAAGACTTTTGTTATGTTGTGTTGTAAAAAAAAAGGAACAATTTTGAGATCTGCCTACTTAACCACATTCATCAACCTTTCTATAATCTCCCAAAAGAACGCCCCTTACCTCTGCCAATTCCTCAAAACAGCTGCCTATGAAGGGAGACTCATTCTCCTCCGTGACCTCCAGGGTGTCCTCTAAAGACCCCAGTAAGTTTACAGAGAAGTCATAAATCTCAGTGATATTTGAGAAGATAATTTCCAGCTCTCTACTACCACTCCCTTGTAAAACAGGGATCTGCTGAAGCTTGTCACAAAACACCTAGAAAAAGAGAAATATTTAGGTACAGAGTTCATAATTCCAAACCAGTAATATATCTAAAATAATAAAAACAATAAATAAAAACATAAGTGAAGAATGATTTTATTTCTCTTTAAAAAATAATAATATTCTAATGAGTCAAAATAATGTGGTTCCGTTTCATAATACAAATATTCAAACATTACATTACATTACATGTGTTGATAAATTTTTAATAAAAACAAAAAAGCTCCCATTCACATACACGAGTTCTATTACTATTACATTCACATATTTTTAAAAAATCAACCTTTTTACAACAAACGTACACTCAACATACCTTAATTATCATATTGAGTTCTCTAATATATGCTTTCTCCTCTTGTATTAGATCTTTGACAAGTTCATCATAAGTTAGAGAAGTGTCTAGGTTAGGATCCTCCACAACTGCACTCATCTCTCCATCCTCATCTTGTTGAAACATGTCCATCAGCACCTGATAGGAGAGCAATGTATTAGGAGCCTTTGTAAGAGGGAAGGAGAAAAGATTCAATTATGCATAAGCCTTTGCCTATGCAAGTTGGTAATCATAGTGGTGGGTGAAGATATGAAAACATACCCCCCTGCCCAAAGATGGTGCTCATTATGTAAATCCAGTTTCTGCCAGTTCATAAAATGTGAAAAATGCAATTATTTTTAGAATCCTGTCATCTCTTTTAATATATTACCGCTATCATGTCAGTTATTTTGACAAGGTTGCCCTTAATTCCCGTAGTCACGTAGAACTTATCTCTAACAAGAGGATCATCTATTGAAAATACACTGCCTTGTAGTGCCTGTCACTGAAGGCTTAAACAAACAGCAATTCAGATAATGATAACAAACTTTTCCCTCTTTTATCAAAATCTTCCTATGCCATCAACAAATCATCCTAGACCAATATTTTTCTTTGTTGCATACAGTGTAAATGTCTAGGGTGATGTAAAGGGACAATGTCATCTGCACCAAAAAGAGGCATCATGATTTCAGATCTACTGTACTTGAAAAATAAAGGTGATTTTACCTAACTTATTGCATCAACTGAGTTGCCTTTGTTTCTAATGTATTTTGGAGATGTATTCATCCATATGGCAGCAATGAATCATAACTCTTGGGAATGTGGGGTTTGCATTCTCACTGACATTTTAGTTTGCAATGAGTGAGTGAGTGAGTGAGTGAGAGAGAGAGAGAGAGAGAGAGAGAGAGAGAGAGAGAGAGAGAGAGAGAGAGAGAGAGAGAGAGAGAGAGAGAGAGAGAGTGAGTGAGTGAGTGAGTGAGTGAGTGAGTGTGTGTGTGTGTGTGTGTGTGTGTGTGTGTGTGTGTGTGTGTGTGTGTGTGTGTGTGTGTGTGTGTGTGTGTGTGTGTGTGTGTGCGTGTGTGTGTGTGTTTTGTTTGTTTGTTTTTGGTAACCTGTTTTTTACTATCACAACGGGTAACAAAAAAAAAATCAATGAAAGCTTAAGACTACTACAAAACTTCTGAAATAGATTGCTGATGCTGCACTTCGGTCCGAGTAGTGGCTCACTCCTCCTCTCCCTCATCCATTGCATCTTCCACCTCCTCCTCGTCACAGAGAAATCTCCTATGGCTCTAACCTAAGATACAATATCAAAAAAGTGGCAAGGACTGGATACTTAGGAAAGAGAAGGTACCCACTGCTGCAGAGACAAAACCTTTTTCCAATGATGTTACATTCTGGTGACCCTTTGCAGTGAAATAAGAAAAATAAAAAGCAAAATCACAAAGGCATTATTTTCGGGGGGTGCTGGATGTGGGAATTTTGAGGAGTAACCCTTTGAATAATAGTACTAGTAGCTGAAATATTTTGCTGCTTTTATGAGTATAGTATTTCTTTATGATGATGAGTAAGACAAATGAAAATTATGGATCTTGGGAGAGAATTAAGATGCATACAACTATGCTGAATATTTAGAAAGTTGTATCTCCAATATTTAATTTTGCCTTTATAGAATTTGTATAAAATTGAAAATCATTATGATTTACATGACTACCAGGGTATACTGGTTCATATATTAGTAAGGGACAAATGAAGAGATATTTTCAATAAAGGGAAGGAGTTACAAGTAATAAATGGCAAAGTGTCTGAAAAGTTGGATTTTTGATAACATCACTCTGAAGTAAGGAAATGACATTGCAACATTCAGCAACATGCAGGATATTTTTCAATTCTCTTTATATAGACCCCTAAAGATATTAATCGACCATATCAATCAAGCAAAAAAACATGAAGAAATCGTTCAACATTAAGGCCATTATAACAGATAAAATGTCATGACGTCACGACATCATTGTTCTTATTTACATAAAAAGTTGGGCATATAAATGTCTATTCATCTGAAATGTTTCAGGCCTGGCAATAGATATGGCAGGTGTGTCATACCATTCCAGTGCAACTACTGCACATCTTCTGAAGACAAAAGCAGCAACTGTTTTTCTATTCTTCAAATAATGGAACTATAATTTACAGTGCTCCTGCCAGGGCCCTAATTTCAAAGTTAAACCCTACCACTTTCTTAAAATAATATTCTTTCATTTCCTAACATATATCTTCATTAGCCTCAAAGATCATGAACAAGCATCTGCACTGCTGACATGTTCTTTTGACTGACTGGACATCCTTTTTGATATATGCCTCATAAAGCCAACCACTTTGGTAGAAATTTTAGAAAACAACTGGCATTTCTATCCTTTTTGGCCTTTTTGACCACTGCAGGCCAAAAATGGGATAACATATAGTTTTACAATTTGCACTATTTTTGTACACTTGATTATAATTATATAAATAATGATTTTTTCTTAATAAAGAATAGCTGAAGATTATAAAGAACACTATCTTAAAACAATTTTGATCGAAAAAAAAAACTATACTAATATTCCTCTTCCTCATTTGTCTTTTAAATATGGAAAAATGTTATTCCTTGAAGTTGTTTTTTCTTTATTCTAAGACTTCTATTAAAATATTCATACATAATAAGGAGTAAAACAAATCTATTTACTTTTCAGCCATGAAAAATTTTCTATTTGCCAAAATTCTACTTCCACACAACAAAACAAATTACTTTCCTGTAAAACAAATGATAAAATGTCTTCCTTTTTTTGGTCACCAAATGATACTATTTATAAAAATAACTTTAAAACTCTGCAAATGAACATTAGTCCATGCAATGTTTTCCATGGGGCTTGCCATCAAAATTGTCACAAAGTGTCGACGCTCTCCTAGCTTTGTTACATGCCTCCTTGTGTCCTTCATTTACAGAGATTTTTTCATAACAGCCTTGACATCTTTTCATTTTTTCTTAGGCCCATCTAAGTCAGCGAGTGTGTGCTGGGAACTTCATCCACTCACAACACCTGGAAATTTACCTCTCAAAATTTCTTCAGGTGCCTAACCTATTAGTGAAAGCTCCAGAGGATCTCTAAATTGTCAAACTGGCATTTCCAACTGAGGAGCGTATTTTCTGAATAATACCCATGCATTTACAAGTGTGATTCCAGTGAGAAACATGTTCCATACCTAGCATTTTGTGCCATGTAATATATATAATAAATATATATATATATATATATATATATATATATATATATATATATATATATATATATATATATATATATATAGATAGATAGATAGATAGATAGATAGATAGATAGATAGATAGATAGACATAGAGATATATATATATATATATAGATGTTAATATGATATGGATATAGATACAGATATAGATATAGATATAGATACAGATAGAGATATAGATATAGAGACAGATATAGATATAGAGACAGATATAGATATAGAGACAGATATAGATATAGAGACAGATATAGATATAGAGACAGATATAGATATAGATATAGATATAGATATATGAATATATAGATATAGATAGATATAGATACATATACATATACAAGTACATAAATAAATTAATTAATTAATTTCATGTGTGTAGGGGGAGGGGGGTATTTTGAGGCCAAGCACATAATTCCTCCTTCCCAGTAAAGGGGTTTGAGCAAAGCCTTGACTGAACTAAATCCCAGTCAGATTGCAGTGTTGGTAGGCTGATCCAGGATGATGTTTTCTTTACATCTGTTATGATCTCTGTTGTTCCAAAATATTATTGTCATCTATTTTTGTTGTTTTGTTATCATTCATTCTTCTCCCGCTACTGATCTGTTCATCATCCATTTCTTCATCTTTCACAGAATGACCCTAAGTTGTGTCAGACTCCTCATATTAAATATAAATGAATTCTTCAACAGATGAGCCATTATTATCATCAATTCCACTTATTCCAGCCCCATGGAAACATGAGGTTTCCATTATCTATAAGAACAAACTAGTACCAATAAATACACAGGACTTGCAGGAGAACAGATAAAACCGGCCATAGATCAGCTGACGGTCGCTAAAAATGTGGTGACCATAAATATACCACATAAATATAGGATATGATATACTTGCAGAATGGCCTACCAGGAGGGCAGCACTTATTGTGGGCCACAGATGGTACACATCGTCCACAAAATACATATTTACTTCCGCAGTGCGACATAGGGGTGGTACATTATGCTTTCTAAAGACAAATTTCCTTCTACACCCCACTGTGAGTCATATTTTTTAGCTTATCATGTGACTCCTTATCCGTAGGGGAGCAAAACAAACCCAGTTTCACGATGCTCACAGGCATCAAATTAGTGTTGCAAATTCAGTAAATAATCACCTGCTAAATTGGAAATATCAAATTAACTATATACTTAAGCACGTGGATGTTAATCCATTTTAAAATTTGGAAGTGAATGAAAATATAAAAATGTCTCACTCGATGCCGATAGAAGCTTAGTGTGACGAACTGGACCAGTGGCACGCAGTACAAATAGGGAGCTACTAAAAGGGAACATAATTTTCCTGCCCTATTTGACCTTGGCTACAGCATGTATGACTGTCCAGTGAACATAGCTAAAATGTGACTTTAGCCTACTTTTATGGGGCTGTATCTCCTAACTTACTGTAGTAATTGCAAAAACAGCAAACAGCTGTTTAGCTCGCAAAACTGTGAGGGATCAACTCACATGACTTTGGTGTACTTGGCATCCACAAGGGGTTAAATGTCATTATCTACTTATTAAACCAAAGAATGCAATTTAAACATATGAAACATGGACATCTTTTGTGGAATTCAAATGCCTAAAGGATATATCTTTAAAAAAATATATTTCAAGGCACTGGAACCAATCACCCTTTCTCATTCATCTCCACTAATAGCTTTGTCACAAACTTTTTGTATATCTTATTATTCAGTCTAATTATATACACTACCATCATATTACCTCTTCATTTCTGATATCAACAGTCCTGCATCTAAAAACAGTCCTGCATTATGTGAAAACTTTCCATTCACTAACCAATCATACCATTTTCTAAAAAAAAATGAGAAAATGAGCACCATCTTTGCAACAGATACATAAAAATCAAATCATTTGCCAATCTAATGAGTCTTGCAAGATTTAAAAGGCAAAATTTTGGTGTCAAAACCATAAAAGGAAAAAACAAATAAACCTCATAAACAATTACATGTAACCTCTCTTCCAATCTATGAAAGTGTGCTAAAAAAAAATACATTTCAATAGTGTTTTTTTTTTTCAATAATACTGATAGCTTTATGAGTATTTTCCTACAGATTTTAAAGGTTTTACTTTATTACAAGGTCTTAGGGTCATGCAACTTTAAAGTAACTTTTTCATTATTCTAACTGATATTTGTATTTGTAAAAGCTTCTATCAATCATTTGCCAATCTAATGAGTCTTGCAAGATTTAAAGGCAAAATTTTGGTGTCAAAACCATAAAAGGAAAAAACAAATAAACCTCATAAACAATTACATGTAACCTCTCTTCCAATCTATGAAAGTGTGCTAAAAAAAAATACATTTCAATAGTGTTTTTTTTTTTCAATAATACTGATAGCTTTATGAGTATTTTCCTACAGATTTTAAAGGTTTTACTTTATTACAAGGTCTTAGGGTCATGCAACTTTAAAGTAACTTTTTCATTATTCTAACTGATATTTGTATTTGTAAAAAGCTTCTAATATTCTAAGTATAAATCATTTCATCTTGTATAATTCAAACATTTCTACATCTGTTCCCAATATATTTTGAATATGAATGCAAATTACAAAGTATATTCCACAAGTACACCTTTCTCATGGAATTAAACTACTAAACCAAGAGAGCAAATCCGACATAATCCATCAGACTTACCTTGTCTGCACACATGGCTACTCTAATGTCCTGTTGCGTTACTTCAATGTGTCTAATGTTCTTAACATAGTTGCCAGCAAGCTGAAAAATCAAATTTGTATTAAATCCCATTTTCAAAAAAAAAGTCAATTTTGATTTGAATAAAAATTTCATATATATATTTATGTCTTATTGTATAGTCTTCATACCATTTTTGCATTTCCCCAGCAGAACTTACCTTTAATATGTCTGCAGATATATATTCTAAAACTGCAACTATATACAATGTTACTTGATAGTCAATCTTTGTTTGAAGCACATCCTGCAAAAGAGAAATTCATTAGAGAAAGCAGAACAAAAGCTAAAAGATAGACTCTATATGGAAACCATCATTCAACATCTCATCTATTATATGGCAAGAAAATATGTAAATGGTCTATGTAAAATTTGTTTTACTATTATATGATGGTAAGTGACAATTACCAACACTATGAAAAACAAAACAATGGCAACCAAGTATGAAAGCATACCTAAATATGGGGTTAATCAAGACAAGTGGTTAGCATGTTTTGTGTGTGCAAAATGCACATAATGCTATTAACCCATTCGCCACATATGGCAAGAATAGATGCCATACCCACTTTGATACACGTTTATTTATTGTATTTACACGTAGATGGCTCCACAAGTTTTTAATCACCAAATAGCCAGTTATCAAGAACTACCTATTTCACCTGTTTACCCTTTTCCTTCACTTTAGGAAAGGGTTTTTTTGTATCATTTTATTGTTAAAAATATTCTAATGACAATTCAATAAGCATAACATCAATAACAATAATAACAGTATCGAAAGCAATGGTATTAATTTTCCCGCCAGTTCAATGAATGGGAGAATCAGGGTCGGTAACTAGGGTCTACTGATAGACTCCTTGCCGGCGGAGCACATGTGGAGCCATCTGTAGGTAACAAAATTCACCAAAAACTACAGGGGACCGAACATAAATCCGTGGCAAATGGGTTAAACTTTCAGTCTAAAAAGAGCTATAAACACATATTCATAACTAGTAATTGGTATGCAAAAGCAAGGAATAATAATGAAGTATTACTGAATCATAGCTGCATAGCAACTTTCACATGAAGCAAATATTTTTTTAGTGCTGTTAAAAAGGACAATAAAAAAAATAATTTTCCTTTTCCTCGCAGCCCTACTAGTTAACTGGAACTTTTATTTTTTATGCTTTCTAATCTTAGATATTCTAACTATTTCTATTTACACCTGTAAGAAACTTTTTTTTTTAAATCAATTATTCTTATCAAGTATCCATTACTCAACAATGACATACAATCCATCTTAATATCAAAACAGTACATCGTCAAATCATTATCTAAAAAAATAAACCATTAAATTGACTCACACACACGAAAATTCCGATCCTGATTCACACACACGAAAATTCCCATCCTGATTCACACACACGAAAATTCCAATCCCGATTCACACACACGAAAATTCCGTTCCTGATTCACAAGCACGAAAATTCCGATCCCGATTCACAAGCACGAAAATTCCGATCCTGATTCACACACACGGAAATTCCGTTCCTGATTCACACACACGAAAATTCCGTTCCTGATTCACAAGCACGAAAATTCCGATCCCGATTCACAAGCACGAAAATTCCGATCCCGATTCACAAGCACGAAAATTCCGATCCCGATTCACAAGCACGAAAATTCCGATCCCGATTCACACACACGAAAATTCCGATCCTGACTCACACACACACGAAAATCCCGATCCTGATTCACACACACACGAAAATCCCGATCCTGATTCACACACACGAAAATTCCCATCCTGATTCACACACACGAAAATTCCCATCCTGATTCACACACACGAAAATTCCCATCCTGAATCACACACACACGAAAATTCCAATCCTGAATAAGCAACTGCCTCGGCAAACTTACCCGCAAAAGTGGATGTGCCTTCTCTGCTGGTAACACCAATGGTGACTTCTTACGACCCTTTTCAATGGCTGCTTGAGCATCTCCAATGGCCCAGCGGTCAATTGGGTTGGGAAACGTTCTCTGTACCCTTTGCTCCACATCCTGTACAATAAAAAAAATAATTTTAAAAAATGTAAATATACAATGATCTTACATCTGTTTTCACACATATCTAATGTCTTCTCAAATGAAAGCTTCATCAAATTTTTCTGGTCTTTATCTCTACTAGAATCTTCAAATTGCATCTTAACCTGCTGACAATCTGGACATATTAACCCATTGCCGCTGGGGAAAATGAACAAAAAATGGGGGAAATGCAGTACTCATTTTTTATATTTTTGTGAAATATCTCTGCCCATAGATGGCTCTGCTAGTCCTGATTTCACCTTTCCTTGAATTGGCGGGAAAAAACGTATTCTTACTAGTGCTATGTTATTTTTAACAGCAAATTAGGATAACGTTAAATATAGTACAAGTGTAGCCATCTATGTGTAAAAACAATCAAACAAGTCGACTCGCAGTTGGCATGGTATGTACGTACATGCCATCCCCGGCGGCAATGGGTTAAGTTGCTGCCGCCAAGGATGGCATGTACATACATGTTGCGAGTACGTACAGATGGCTCCGCAAATACTAAGTCACTAATGAGCTAATTACAATTACTAGGACTACCCACCTCACCTTTTTACCTTTCCCTTTATTTTTGAAAATATTTTTTTAATCTTATATTGCATATTGCAGTTCGTAATATCAATAACAGTAAAATAATTATAATGTCTATAATAATAATAACAGCATCAATATTGACAGAACTAGTAAAAAAAAACATTTTCCCCGAAAATTCAATGAATGATGAAATCAGGTGAAGTCACATGGTCTACTAATTGACTCCTTTGTGGCTAAGACCTTTTCAGCTAAGACCTAAAGAAATGGCCAAGTCTGCCAAATTACTGTAATTATGCCAAAATTACAGCACTTACGTCTTGAGTGGCATCCAAATATTTTTTTTCAATTTTGCTTGAATATATAATTCTGATGTTTTATATAATTACAGACAAGTGGCAGATGTCAGATGACTCATCAGTTCTGCTTTGTAATATTGCTTGAAAATTCTGATCAAGTCATAAAATGCATCAGTTCTATTTCTTGTTTGTGATATTCTTCATTCTCATGTATACCTTTCCTACATGCATCAAAATTAACCCATTGCCGCTGGGGAAAATGAACAAAAAATGGGGGAAATGCAGTACTCATTTTTTATATTTTTGTGAAATATCTCTGCCCATAGATGGCTCTGCTAGTCCTGATTTCACCTTTCCTTAAATTGGCGGGAAAAAACGTATTCTTACTAGTGCTATGTTATTTTTAACAGCAAATTAGGATAACGTTAAATATAGTACAAGTGTAGCCATCTATGTGTAAAAACAATCAAACAAGTCGACTCGCAGTTGGCATGGTATGTACGTACATGCCATCCCCGGCGGCAATGGGTTAAGTTGCTGCCGCCAAGGATGGCATGTACATACATGTTGCGAGTACGTACAGATGGCTCCGCAAATACTAAGTCACTAATGAGCTAATTACAATTACTAGGACTACCCACCTCACCTTTTTACCTTTCCCTTTATTTTTGAAAATATTTTTTTAATCTTATATTGCATATTGCAGTTCGTAATATCAATAACAGTAAAATAATTATAATGTCTATAATAATAATAACAGCATCAATATTGACAGAACTAGTAAAAAAAAAACATTTTCCCCGAAAATTCAATGAATGATGAAATCAGGTGAAGTCACATGGTCTACTAATTGACTCCTTTGTGGCTAAGACCTTTTCAGCTAAGACCTAAAGAAATGGCCAAGTCTGCCAAATTACTGTAATTATGCCAAAATTACAGCACTTACGTCTTGAGTGGCATCCAAATATTTTTTTTCAATTTTGCTTGAATATATAATTCTGATGTTTTATATAATTACAGACAAGTGGCAGATGTCAGATGACTCATCAGTTCTGCTTTGTAATATTGCTTGAAAATTCTGATCAAGTCATAAAATGCATCAGTTCTATTTCTTGTTTGTGATATTCTTCATTCTCATGTATACCTTTCCTACATGCATCAAAATTAACCCATTGCCGCCGGGGAAAATTAACAAAAAATGGGGAGAATGCAGTGCTCCTTTTTTTATGTTTTTGTGAAATATGTCTGTCCATAGATGGCTCTGCTAGTCCTGATTTCACCTTTCCTTAAATTGGCGGGAAAAAACGTATTCTTACTAGTGCTATAAACATAGAGGTGTTATTTTTAACAGCAAATTAGGATAACGTTAAATATTTTCGTAAATCGATGAAAAGGGTGAACGGGCGAGACAGGCAGTACTCGTAATTGGTTTATTGGATACTTAGTACAAGTGTAGCCATCTATGTGTAAAAACAATCGAACAAGTCGACTTGCAGTGGGCATGGCATGTACGTACATGCCATCCCCGGCGGCAATGGGTTAATGAGAAACATGCATGTGTGTGAGATGTGTGGACACATCACAGTGTAAGACCCTCAGTCTTCATTTATTTTGATAAATCATTTCTATGGTGGTGACTGTGATATAACCATCAGAAGTAACATCAATATTGACAGAACTAGTAAAAAAAACATTTTCCCCGAAAATTCAATGAATGATGAAATCAGGTGAAGTCACATGGTCTACTAATTGACTCCTTTGTGGCTAAGACCTTTTCAGCTAAGACCTAAAGAAATGGCCAAGTCTGCCAAATTACTGTAATTATGCCAAAATTACAGCACTTACGTCTTGAGTGGCATCCAAATATTTTTTTTCAATTTTGCTTGAATATATAATTCTGATGTTTTATATAATTACAGACAAGTGGCAGATGTCAGATGACTCATCAGTTCTGCTTTGTAATATTGCTTGAAAATTCTGATCAAGTCATAAAATGCATCAGTTCTATTTCTTGTTTGTGATATTCTTCATTCTCATGTATACCTTTCCTACATGCATCAAAATTAACCCATTGCCGCCGGGGAAAATTAACAAAAAATGGGGAGAATGCAGTGCTCCTTTTTTATGTTTTTGTGAAATATGTCTGTCCATAGATGGCTCTGCTAGTCCTGATTTCACCTTTCCTTAAATTGGCGGGAAAAAAAGTATTCTTACTAGTGCTATAAACATAGAGGTGTTATTTTTAAAAGCAAATTAGGATAACGTTAAATATTTTCGTAAATCGATGAAAAGGGTGAACGGGCGAGACAGGCAGTACTCGTAATTGGTTCATTGGATACTTAGTACAAGTGTAGCCATCTATATGTAAAAACAATCGAACAAGTCGACTCGCAGTGGGCATGGCATGTACGTACATGCCATCCCCGGCGGCAATGGGTTAATGAGAAACATGCATGTGTGTGAGATGTGTGGACACATCACAGTGTAAGACCCTCAGTCTTCATTTATTTTGATAAATCATTTCTATGGTGGTGACTGTGATATAACCATCAGAAGTACTTTAATTTTATTTTATAATTATTACAATACTAGATCATGTAAAGAAAAAGTCTTCCTGATTCAGGATTGATAACTAAAACAAATAGGAATTTTCTTTTTCTCTTAGGCTTATTAGGCTTAGGCTTATACAATATTACTGATAAAATGTATTATAGTGTTAAAAGTTATGGTACTTTTAAGCTATTGTTCGCAGGTAGCATAGCGCCAAATGCCTCAGGTAGCATCCCTACATATACGGCCCATACGGATATAATCGTTTGGCAGACTGCACGACCGCTGATGAAGCCCGCACACATTAGGATTAATTATCAGAATAGTAAAATAATTATTTTTCATGGTATGTGCTGAAACAAGCATCTCTATGACGTCATTAGTAAAGTGAAGGCAACAGGAAAGAAAATCCCTTAGTGCCATTCTAGCATTAATCCTTTGGATACAGGTGCCTCATGGCCCTCATGTGGCCCAAAATTAAGGCATTAGGCTTTTTTGTGTGTTGACTCTCAAGGGTGTTTGGCTTGTAGGCCCAGACTACACAAATACTCACATGTAGTATGAAGATTCCTTCCCTCCTTTTTGCAATGTTTTTAGGTCTTTTTCTGTTTAAGTGTTTTTTGATATTTTCCAAGGTATGTACTTCTTTTTTATTATGCTTTATCTAGATGGTAACAGACTGCTTTCCTTGTTCAGACTTGGTATTCTACAGCTCTGTGCAGTAACAATAACTATAAACGATATAGTGTTATTTGCATTTTTTTTTATATATTTGCATTATTAAATATTCTGTAATACATCCTATGTTAATGGTCATGGTGGGAAGGTATAACGTGTCCTTCCTGGAGACAGCCCTTTTACAGTCATGGCTAGAAAAGCTTTTACCAGTTTACTTAATCCTTACAGTCCAGAATACATGACTATCATGTCATGGAAAAATATGGCTTGAGGGGCAGGTGACGTGAACATGCCATCATGGAAAAATTTGGGATGGGGTGACATGAATTTGCCGACACGAGAATTTTGACTGACAGCCAGGGCGATGGGAACAGCTCACTGCATTATTTCCATCAAGAAATGAGTGTTAAATGTACAATCTGTTAGCCTTAGCCATGATGGAAGAGCCTTGGCTCCAGGGAGGATGCCATTTTCAAGCTCAGTATCCTATTCCTGGCTTCTGTGACCAGCAGAGCACATTTATAAAAAATAATTAAATATTACAAAAAATAAAGACAAATATAGACATTGGAAAATGGCAAAAATGCCAAAAATGCTTATGTCAAAAAAGAGAATATAACATTGTAAAGGGGAAACATGGAGTCTTGTCACCACATACAAGTGTTCATGTGCATCCAACCTACAAGCCAAACACAATATCTTGGGCCATGTGATGATAGTGAAGCATCCAGATCCAATGGGTTAAATGCCCACTTAGTCTTACCATCTCCAAGACTTTTGGGCAATTCACGGTGAGTCATTTCTGTCACCCAGGCTCTTGGACAAATTTTTCATGATGGCACATTCTCATGACAACCTTCAGCAAATTTTGTCACAACAAGGCATTCAAGTTCCCCGTACCGACCAGGTTAATGGGGTTAATAGCCACTAGAAAGCATTATGTCATCCTAGCTCCTCAATAAAAATATCTAAATTTAAAATGTAGATAAATCAAATTAATTTTTTTTTTTAATACGAGTCAATGCATCCTTCCATTGGCAGATTTTAATATCATAACCTGCATTACACAAGCGCCTGGCGAAATCACTCCCCTCCCTCGAACTTTTCCGAACAAGAGCCGTCAACACACCTCACAACCAAAAGCACCCTTCCTTTCCCAAGAGCACAGACACACTCACCTGGACGGTGTGAGGAGCTGGGCGAGCACACAACATGGCCAGCAGGCGTAAGATGAGGCTCTCCACATACTCAAGTGCATCATCTTTGGCCGCTAGGGAGGGATGCACCTGCTCCAGCACCTGTAAAGGAGGTTATTCATTGTAAAGAGAGGAAAAGCAGTTCAACTCAAAACATACCATTATTTAATAATAAAATTTGCAATATTATAATTATCATTAATCAATAACAATAATAATAATAATAATTATTATTATTATAATAATAATAATAATAATAATTATAATAATAATAATAATTATTATTATAATAATAATAATAATAATAAAAATAATAATAGTAATAACAATAATAATAAAAATACTGATGATAGTGATAACAATGATAATAACAATAATAATAATAGTGATAAACAAATGTAGTATAATGATCAAATCATAAAGAATAACAATTCCTATGTCCAACAGGAATAGTAGTACGATTAACCCAATGTCAGCGGGAGGCAAGACTGCAATGCCATCTTCCCTGTAATAGAAGTTCTATCTATTGTCTTTACGCATATATGGCTTTACATGTGCTTATTCACCAAGGAGTAAGCTATTAGTCTTGCCTATCTCATCTGTTTACCCTTTTCCTTCCATTTTTGAAAGTTTCACTTCTATCATTTTATTGTCTTTGATGTTCTTAACCCATTGCCGCCGGGGATGGCATTTACGTACATGCCATGCCCACCGTGAGTCGACTTGTTCAATTGTTTTTTACACATAGATGGCTACACTTGTACTAAGTATCCAATGAGCCAATTACGAGTACTGCCTGTCTCGCCCATTCATCCTTTTCATCGATTTACGAAAATATTTAACGTTATCCTAATTTGCTGTTAAAAATAACACCATCTATATTTATAGCACTAGTAAGAATATGTTTTTTTCCCGCCAATTCAAGGACAGGTGAAATCAGGACTAGAAGAGCCATCTATGGACAGAGATATTTCACAAAAATATAAAAAATGAGTACTGCATTCTCCCCATTTTTTGTTAATTTCCCCCGGCGGCAATGGGTTAATATTTTAAAAGAACAATTTGATACTCATAATATCAATAATTAATGATAATGTTAATATTAACAGTACTGGAAAGAAAAACACATTTTCCTTAAAATTCAAGGGAAAGGGAAATCAGGATCAGTCAATAGGGCCACCTAATAAGACTCCTTTCTAGCTGAGAACACGTGGAGCCATGGCTATATAACAAAACTCACTTAAATCTATAGGGGGCAGTACATAAACCCGCTGAAATTGGATAAAATTAACCCATTGCCGCCGGGGAAAATGAACAAAAAATGGGGAGAATGCAGTACTCATTTTTTATATTTTTTGTGATATATCTCTGTCCATAGATGGCTCTGCTAGTCCTGATTTCACCTTTCTTCAAATTGGCGGGAAAAAACGTATTCTCACTAGTGCTATAAATAGAGATGGTGTTATTTCTAACAGCAAATTAGGATAACGTTAAATATTTTCGTAAATCGATGAAAAGGGTGAATGGGCAAGACAGGCAGTACTCGTAATTGGCTCATTGGATACTTAGTGCAAGAGTAGCCATCTATGTGTAAAAACAATCAAACAAGTCGACTCACAGTGGGCATGGCATGTACGTACGTGCCATCCCCGGCGGCAATGGGTTAATATTAATCTTGACATTAATATTAACAATAACAATAACCGTAACAATAATGACAACAACAATAATAACAATAACAATAACAACAACAACAATAATGATAATAATAACAATAATAATAATGATAATGATAATGATAATAATAATAATAATTGTTTAATAATAATGGTCTAATTATATTAAGTCTAATAATAATAATAGTCTAATTATAATGATAATAGTAATAATAATAATAATAATTATTATTATTATTATTATTATTATTATTATTATCATTATTATTATAATAATAGTAATAATAATAGCAATAATAATAATTATAATAATAATAATAATAATAATAATGATAATAATAATAATAATAGCAATAATAATAATAATAATAATAATAATAATAACGATAACGATAACGATAACGATAACGATAACGATAACGATAACGATGATAACAATAATAATAATAATAACAATAATAATAATAATAATAATAATAATAATAATAATAATAATAATAGCAATAACAATAATAATAATAATAATAATAATAATAATAATAATAATAATAATAATAATAATAATAACGATAACGATAACGATAACGATAATGATGATAACAATAATAATAATAATAACAATAATAATAATAATAACAATAACAATAATAATAACAATAAGGGTAATGTATCAGTAAGGATGATAATAATAATAATAATAATAATAATAATAATAATAATAATATTAATAATAATAATAATAATAATATTAATAATAATAATAATAATAATAACAATAATAATAATAATAAAATAATGTTATTACAAATACTAATAATATTATTAATAACAATAATGGAAAAAGAAATACTATTTAAAAACAATAATTAATGATAAAAATAATTATAACAAAAAAAAAATAAATAAATATAACAATAATAATGTCATCATCATCATCATAACAATAATAATACTGACTATAACAACAATAATAATCATATAATAATGTTAAAAAACAACAACGATTAATAATAATAATAATAATAATAATAATAATAATAATAATAATAATAACAATAATAATAACAATAACAATAACAGTAATAATAATAATAGTAATAGTAATAGTAATAATAATAATAATAATAATAATAATAATAATAACAACAATAATAACAATAATAATAATAATAATAATAATAATAATAATAATAATAATAATAATAACAATAACAATAACAATAATAATAATAATAATAATAATAATAATAATAATAATAATAACAATAATAACAATAATAACAATAATAACAATAATAACAATAATAATAACAATAATAACAATAATAACAAGAATAACAAGAATAACAATCATGCATAAATAATAATGCAATCAAAACCATAACAATAATAGCAATAATAATGATAATACTACTACTACTACTAATAATAATAATAATAATAATAATAGTAATATTAATAATAATAATAGTAACAATAATATTAACAACAATAACAATAACAATAATAATAATAATAATAATAATAATAACAAATAATAACAAAAATAATATTTACAATATTAATCATAACAGTAATAACAATCATTATAA